GAAGTGGTTGAGGCACCATCCCTGGAGGTATTTGAAAGACGGGTAGATATGTTGCTTAGGGACATGATTCAGTGGTGGACTTGGCAGTGTTTACAATTAACTTGATGGTCTTAAAGGTCCTTTCCAACCTGAATGATTCTATGAATCCATGATTCTAAGATTCTATGATCTCCTTGCTCCTTACCTACCCTGTAGGTACTGGGGAGTTCTGTCAGGTCCCCCCAGAGCCATCTCTTCTCCTGGCTAAACAAGCCCCAGTCCCTCAACCTCTCTTCATAGGGCAAGTGGTCCAGCCCCAACTATCCTGGTGGCCTTTACTGAATTTATCCAAGTTTATCAGTGCCTCCTGTGCTAAGGGCCCCAAAACAGATGCAGTATTATTCATGTGATCTAACAAATGCTGCCTGCACTCCTGCTAATACAGCTTCAGCTGCTGTTGGCAATCTTTACCATCTTTTGCCAAGGTGCACTGCTGGCTCGTGTAACTCACAGCCATAACTCTAGTGCCTTGATTTTGAATCCACCAGTACAGGTGGTCATCAATACCTTGTTGTCACTCCAGAGCTAAATGATGTAAGAGAAAGGAGATGGTGCAAGGTGGAAAGAATGGTAGAGTCATGTGCGGTACTGATGAAATATGAAGTGAAAGTAAAGCCTGACTGGGAAGTTGTGTAGGGAAAGATAAAATGAATGAGAAATGAGACAAGTTTCAGTAGAGTTTGACTATAGCACACTAGAAATAAGAAAGATTTAATAACAAAATAATTTTCTTGTGGGATAATCTCAGGTAATTTGGCTGCCATCGGATAACATAGCATCATGGATGGGCTTCGTAGGATACATTAGAAAACAGTTTTAGAATATAAATATTAAAATATCTATTGAATGCTTAAGATCATCTGCTTCTTTATGATAGTGCTAATAAGTTGGGAAAAAAAGAAAAAAAATATGTATCCAGCTATAACAAAATACTTATATTTAATAATGTAAGAAGAAAATAGTATACCAATTATAATATTAGAAGGCCATTAAAGTTTGAGACAGATATGTGTACAGAACAAAGAAATGTGGTGAACAATATATAAGTCAGGGACTTAATTGGTTCTATGAGCAGAGAAAAATATTGCCAATTAAAAAAAACCCCACAAATAATTCCTCTGGAAGACATCACAAGGCATGTGATTGGAAGAGTTCTTCATTAAATCCAAGATCTGAAACTACACTGTAAAATGACAAGGACAATCAAAAGAGTTTAAAGGTAGGTGCTCAGAGTTTTGAGGCAGAGAAGAAATGCCCCAAAGCCTCCAAATACAGCCCCCAAAACCCAGGAAAAATAGTGGCCAAGTTCTTATGTGGATTTAAATAAATTATTTGAGCAATTATCCATTATTATTTTAAATATTTATTCCAAATGCAATTTGCTATAAATTCTATCATAGAGGTTGACAAATATCTCATAAAACTACAAAGAGTACCAGTTTGGGGTCATGTATTGAATTTAGGTGATGTCTACTAGTCTTCTGTAGAGTTCAGTGTTATCGTCTAAATACAGTGGTTAATGATCTAAAAAAACCCCACCTTTGGACAATATGTTTGTATTTTTATGAGTTAGGGTGTTGTAGATAATCACAGAGTTGACATAAAGAAGAGAAAAATACAGTTAGTAATAAGAGTAGATAAATATAACAAAATTGCTTTCAGATCCTAGAAAAAAGCAAGTAAGAAGGCATTTGGACAAAACCACAGAAAACAGAAACAGGCATTGGGGTGAAAGTGGACAATTAATTAGGGAGGAGTCACCAAACAAGAAGTAGACTGTGCACTGCAGGAATCTGTAGACAGCATGAAGCCCTGGAGCAAAGCTGGTTAACCAAACCTGATCTGCAACATTCAGCACAGGCCACCTCTGCGATTAAAACAAAAACAAAAGAAAAAAGGCAAGCAGGTAAGCAGGGCATACAGCGCATGACCAGCTGATACTAGTTTGCAGGCTAAGACTTAGGAGGAAATGAGCTTCACATGAGCTTCAGTAGTTGGCATTGCAGGACTTTTCTCAGCTGCAGGTTCTCTAGGGTTGGCTTGAGCACAACCTCTGCCGGTAAGGATCCAGCTGGGAAAGGATGGCTGTGTCTGTGCTGGTATCACCACCTGCTCCAGGAATGGAGTCCCAGTCAGTTCTCCAGCCAGTGAATTGGGTCCTACGACTTTCTACACTCCCCCTTGCTCAGCCTGGCCCTATCCGTAGCGCTCGGATATCCCGGGGGGCAGCAGCTGTCCCTTGCAGCCACTTACAGGCGTCTCTAACAGTAGTGTGTTTGTGCGTGATGCCAGGGGTGTGTTTGCATAAGGAGTTATGTATTATGACAGCTCACCGCCTGCGTGAGGACGGTGTTTGAAGGCTAGGCCAGGTGGAGGTGGTGAGAGCTGGCTTGCTTCCATCCACCACGCTTACTGAAGCAGGCCCTGAGATGGTTTTATCATTGAGTCAGTTCCAGGTTTTAGCTGGGTGGATACCAAGTTGTTCCACCCCGTGAAGGATTCAACGTGTGCACACGGGCAATAGGAGCAAGCCCAACTGGCATCTCAGATGTACCCAGAGCTTGTGTTTGCCAGGTACTTTAACTCACTTTTACCACCTGGCAAGCCTTCAAAGTGAAAATATGCACATTTCATCAAGGAAAGCAAGTGTTCACAGTCTTTCTTGCAATACTGGAAACCCTCTTTCTGATAATTTTCAGGTTTCCTCATCCAGAGGATCATAAATATTTACAATGATTTCCCACGTGCCTATGGAATGTAAATATATATATATACACCAAACTTGTAGAGAAATAATTCAATAGGATTCAGACCCAGAACAATATGAATATAAAAATAAGTAGTTGTCAATATTCCTTATCTCATTATCCAGTGGCATTATGTCTATGCTTTAAAAGGCAGAATTTCTAGCATTAAATAAGTTAAGGGAAGGATCCTAGTAGTAACAATGCTTCACAGCTTCACCATGCATTGTGTCTAGGACATGTTCCCCAAGCGCTCACCAGAAGGTTCATCAAGGTAGAGGTGAGGGGCAGAACAAGGCTGTGCACCTTCTTTGTGCCTCTGCTGGAGGAAATCTAGGAGGGACCAGAGAACAGAGGACGGATTAAAAACATCTCTCTGTGCACTGTGGTTCAAGAGTTTCTTGGTGTCTTTGCAGCTGTGCAAAGGTCTCTATCTAGACAACTGAAGTGCTGTAGGTGTTATGTTACTTTCCTAAGAGTAATAGCGGTTCTGCATTGAGCAAGCATTTAAAGCAAGACTGACAAGACTAATTAATATGTAGTGTAGATGACGGAATCACAAGTCTCAACAGTACTGCCATGAAATAAATAAAAAAAGTCAGTGCAAGGCCTTTCATATCACTGTGGTCTTATTCATACTACTATATTTTTCAGCAACCTCATTAATTCACCTGATTACAACTCTGAAATTCTCACTAGCTCCATTGTGAGCTAGTGAGGTCTTAGGACCTATTTAGTGTTCCTTGTCATTTTGAACTTTAAAAGTCAATTGTTCTTCAGGAATGTCATTTAAATTGTGGGTTTAGGTCATCTGACTGGTCGAAGTTCACCTCTTTGAACATGTCCTTACAATTAATTTTTATAAGATGAAGCCTTGCTGATTACCTCTAATTTTTCCAAAACTCTGACCAAAGTGTAGCTCTCTGTTAGTAAAGCAATAACTTTTGGAATCTTCAGTTCAAAACTGGTAATACATCTATAACATCATGATAATTTATATAACAGTGGGAAAAAAATGTTGAGAAACTATTTTTTAAGGAAGTCCTCTTCCCAGCCATAAGAATTTAAAGAACAATGAGAAATAAAGTGTTAACAGCATATTTCTGTAACCTTATTTGCAACCATTGCCTTTTTAATTTCACATAATCAGGGATTTTTTTTTCATTTGTTCAGCTCAAGATTATAACAATGAAAAATAAATTAATGCATTTTTTAAAGTCACATTGTAGCTTGTAAGCAAAAGAATGGGTCTCGAGTCTATGTATATATGTAAATGATTATATTTTAAATAAGCAAAAGTACAAAACCACAGTCGTGTACCAGGCAGGGAAATGTTTGTCCATGTACCAGGCACGGAAATGCAGAAAATTCTGCAGCGATACAGAACTGAGTGATACAATCCAGTGGAGGATTAGATCTGATAAAAACTGATCTGATAAGGCACCTATTCTTGCCGTTTCCCTTTAGCCTCTTACAAGATTCCATAAATTAGGAATCAAGGGCTGTCAGCAACCTCTGTAATCAGCAGTGGGAGATGAGTTAGCGTGCCCTGCAGTCCTGTATCCCTGATTTGCCAGATAGGGGAGAGCTGCTGGAGCACATGGTGGTTCCCTTCTGGCTTCTGCACTTGTTATCTCATTCATCTGGAAACCAAGGCAGACAGTCGCTTGGGTGTCTTGCTTGTCTTGGAGCTGGGATGTGTGAGGTTGGGCATCCACCAAAGCCTGGGAACTCTAATGGATTCCCAGGGGCATCTCCAGATCATAATTCAGCTTTGAGACACTCAAAAGAGCTGAGTCTATCAATAGACTATGAAAAACCTGTAGGCACATAAGTTAAATGCCTGGAGATGTAGTGTTAATCCAGGTCCTAAGAACTTAGACATGAAGACATCAAAATACCTGAATTTCAGGCACACTGCTGGATTTAATTTTATGTGCATAGTCTGTCTAAACAGTGAAATGTCTCACTATAGGATCCAAAGCAGCCAGTGATGTCAGCAGGGAGCAGATAGCAGAAGCAGAGCAGTATGCCCAAAGTCCTCCCATGTGGGGTGTATGCTCTCTCAGGAATAAGTACTTCTACCTACTTGTGATCCACCACTAAGTTTCACATCCTGTAAACAAGAGTTTTTTCCTTCAGACTGGACACGGTCTTTCAATTTAAAGGTTGAAATCATAACATGGAGCTGCGTCTCTTGCTGTTTTATCATTTCAGCCCATGCCCAGGCACTTGGAAACTGAGATCCGGGTCCCTCCTCTGCTTTAGGTCTGAGGGAGTCAGAGGTCAAATCCACCTTCTCCATCTCCTACATAAATCCTTCCTGCTGTTTTCGGAGCTGTGCTACTATGCAGTGCTGCCAGTTCATTTCTCTGCAGGACTCATAGCCCAACGGTTAAGTAACCTTCTCAGAGATGCGAGATGTGGATTTGAGTCTTCGCTGCATTCAGGAGGGAGATGGAACTATGTCCCAGGTCCTGGTGAGTTACCTAATTTTTATATAATTTGACATGGAGTAGGTATCATCTTTGCCCTTGGAGGGTACATGAGGAAAAAATGCAGGGTTCTGTTGCTCGTTTTATTGCAGTTGGTCTTATTCTTAGATCAAATACTGTTTTGGGACCTCTGGGGATGTGAGGCAGCCAAAAGTTATCAAGTTATAGTTAGTGTACATATAGATAGATAGATAGATATAGTTAGACACCTGGGATATGCCTGAAAGGTCAACCCTTGTAAAGGACATTAAAGCTAGACAAGAAGGCAACTGGCAAGTCTATGTGACTTCGATCTCCTGTATCTCAACCCACAAGTCTTTTGTTATATTTTCTCTTCCCTGTTCAGCTGAGGAGAGTGGCTTGGTGGCACGTGGTGATCAGCCAGGGTCAACCCACCACAGTCAAGCAGCAGATTTGGTGTTGCAGTTTTGGATACAGAGGCACACACTCTGTCAAATTACTGCTTCTACCCCAACTCTTTTTAGACAGAAAGAAAACTCACTGATTCTGAAGCACATCTCTCTGTTCATCTTTCGCTTCACATACATGTCTCTGGCGTATCTGTGGTACGTGGCACCTTGTAGTCTGCCATCATCCCACACCTTGGCTTCCTGTGGTATGAAATCATTAGTTGATTTAGACTTGTCAGGATTGGTCTGCTCCAGAGTGCAGTGGGAAGGCGTCCCTGTAGAGCTGAGTTCAAAAGCAGTGCTCCCACCAAGACAGCAGGTGCCACGTCAAGTGGCACTGGCAAATCAGGACAAAGACTTTTCTTGCTTCTGACCGCCTTAAGCCCACATTCAAGATATGTCTATCGGATTGACCATTCCTTGTGACTCCTCTGGAAACAAAAATCGCTTAGAGGCACCTACATTCCCTAAATATGTCAATTCTTTGGGCTCTAAAATGTCGTTATGAGTTGTTATATGGGTGTGGCATTTTAATCAAGATGCTGTGAGGAGGTTATGGGTGAAGCAATTATTTCATGCGGCAATAAGAAATGCTTTAAGATCTTTTATCTTTCATTAGAATCTAGTGTGTTATTTATTAGCGCAAATGCCATTGCAGAACAGGTTCATACAGGAAATGAAGAAACTTCAGTGAAAGTAGATGTAGGATAAAATCAACATTCAGCTTAGCTCACGCTATTTAAAAGGAAAATATCCACATCAGTTTTGGCTCAGGGACATGCAAAATGTTTTCTGTTTTAGGGCTTAAATTAACACCTAGCTGAAATAGCTGTTAATATGCTTTAGCAATTCAGTGTGTACCAAAACTAAATTTACCTTCTAATTAAATGAGAGAAAAAGTCAAACCCTAGCATTTCATCTGTCTTAATGAATTCCTAAAGAAGGAGCAGGGACTAATTGCCTCTTTTGACTTACTTGTGGTAAAAATGATAGAAGGAAGGGATTTAAAACTAATGAGTCTAAATAAGTTCATGTTGTTTTTTTTTAAATTTAAAAGTGCAATTGAAATAATCCTTATTTGTTCAAAGTATTTTTGAAGGAAATGGAAACAGGGTTTTAACCTGGCCAATTGGATAATCTCAAAAAAAGGTCTAATGATATAAAATTACCACTCCCTCCTCAGAGAAAAAGCAATTATTAAAATTTGCCAGCCTAACTGCTTGGGATTTCATTTGGCTTCTTACTCCAGCATCATAGGAGGGGTACTCTTCCAGCAAATTTAAATTATTAAAAAGGGTTGTTTTTGCCACTGAACTTGATGGTCAATTTTGACTATATACTGTAAATCCATTTTAAAGGATTTTAAAGAATGATACTCAATTTTATAAAAACTGGTCTCTACACTATCTTCTGAGTAAAGAAAATATGATTTTTTTTTCATATATATATAAATATTTTGCTAGGACTACCCTGCACCTTTTTAAAAATTACATCAGTTTACTTTCTTTTATTCATTTAAGTGATATAGTGGGTGTGTATTTGTCCCTTTCCATTCTGTTTGATTAGCCCTTGATACATCACAATCACTTGTCTGAAAAATGGCAAATTTGTGGGTGTTTACTCAGTGTTTTGAATGCATAACAAAAGCCTATGAGTTGGCAAGCCCACCTTGTCTTGCTATAATGCAAACATCTCCCAAAGCCATGGAAAATAGTTGGCCAAAACAGAAAGTAGCACCAAAAAATTTTGGAATCTTGAAAATCATTAACACAACTGCAAACACTGTGAGGTAAAAAAAAAAAACACAAAAAACCCCACAAATCCCTGGGCCTTTAAATGTCAAAAAATGTGCTGTGGGCCCATGTTTCCCCCAGTCTCCTCAGAAAAGCACATCCATTTGCTCTACCTGAATTCATCCCTTCTCAAATCAACATCAGCCCTTACCGAACTAAAAGATATAAGCTGGGTTTTCACCTCTCTAAGTCTCCTGGCCATTCCACAAGTGTTATTAATTTTAGGATTTACACTGATTTGATCCTATTCCTAGCAGTAAATGTAACAGCTTTTATCTCAACAACATGAGACACAAGGGCTACCTCTCTACTTGTAGATTCAGCAGTGCCAGGATCCATATGCTGATCCTCTGGCCAGCTGGCACGGACTACTCTTGCTCATCCTACTGAAGTCTCATAAACAAGCTTGCTGCACTCAAGCTACCTATTGGGAAATGGTCTCCCATCTTTCTTAACTCTGGAACTGTGCTGAGGGCTTGTTTGGGAACTTGCTGACTGGTCAGGGCCAGAACCACACCAGGGCCTTTTCTAGCTGTTTAACAAGTAGAGATGGCAAAACATAACAGTACCAGGGTCTGCTTGTCAGTTTGCCAAAATAGACATAACCAAGAGGATTTCCTTTTAAAGATTTTCCTGGATTTCCTTCTGGATCCACAGTCTCCTGTGAAGCTGGTGGGGCTCCTCCAAGAGGGGAATCTTCATCTCTCCCCTCCCAGCCTAGGCAGGGGCAGTACAAGTGAGGAAGAAACCCCTTGTAAAACACTTCTCAGTATCCTTGTCCTGTACATGGAAAAGGGAGATAAGTCTGGTTTTTGCAGTATAGGGATAGTAGTCCTTTTTTACGAACAGTGGTTTATTGTCTGTCCTTTCTGGAAAAACAAGAATTTCTCAGGAGTCAGAGTTTTATGGAGGAGCAGTAAGAGAGCCTGAAAATTTTTACTCAGCAGGTCCTGTACATGGAAAAGGGAGATAAGTCTGTTTTTTTGCAGTATAGGGGTAGTAGTCCTTTTTTACTAACAGTGGCTTATTGTCTGTCCTTCCTGGAAAAACAAGAATTTCTCAGGGGTCAGAGTTTTATGGAGGAGCAGTAGGAGAGCTTGAAAATTTTTACTCAGCAAGGAAAACAATACTGCAGAGAGGTTTGTTTTCAGAAGATTAATTTCAACTAACATCTTTTAAAATCTGGTAAAATCTTACATGTTTGCAAGTAAGAGATACTATTTCCTTTATTTCAGAAAGCACAGGTTAACAGCCTGATCTTCCCTATCCAATGCAGAGAGGTCTTTGAGAGAGCTGAGGCAGCAATTTATCTCAGCCCTACGCAGGCCTGACTCTCCTTTGCAATTTATTCCCATAATCTGACAGCCACAAGCTCCAAATCATGAAGCTGAAGTGTAAAAAAAAATCTTTTTATTGTATTGAGGAGTAGCTTGCATAATATCAAGCTTCTAAGATTTCTACTTCTAATTTTATCATGGCCTTTATTTTTAAGATTTTGTCACACAGTAAGAAGGGCAGAGTCACATCCTTGCATCTTGTGATGAGGTATGTAAGTCAGCTGAGTCCTAGTGCAAAAAAAAGAAAACAAAGCGTTTCTAGTTCACCCCAAACACTTCTTTGAATTGTAGTTCATTTAATTCATCATGAGCCTGTCAGATTTGAGGCAGCAGAATAAACAGACTTTCAGAGATGTTGTTGGCTCCAAGACTGGCTCTATTTTTATTGAAACAATTTTTAGTTCTGTTTGTTTGCTACAGAATATTTTCCTCAGCGTTGTTTTTATGCTGAACTGAGACTTGGCAGTGTTTTCCGTTGGAATGTGACACTGTTGTGTCAGGTCAGAAGAGAAAATGCCAGTCGGTGTTTCCCAGTGGTTGTACACACGTAACATTATGTCCTTTCACTGAACTCAGTCTTTATCCCTGAGAAAGAACTGTTATTTTAGCTTGCATCACTGCAGATATTATCAGTCATAAACATACACAGCTTTTCATAAGTCATATGTTCAATAGTCAAAGAAAAATACCTACTAACTTTTTCATAAAATACTATGAATTCTAAATTTCCAGAACCAATATTCCTTTTTTTTCTCCCTTCCTTTCCTCTCTCCTTCTTTTCTTATTCTGTCCGTCTGTCCTCCTTTACGGGATTTTTTCATGGGTAGGCAGAGGGGGATGGGTATATATATAGTTGGCAAGGCCTAGACCTTGGTCTAGGTTTATATTAAGCTTTGGCAGTGATTCTCTGTGTAACTGGTTCAAGTAAAGCCCTCCTGTGTCTTTTCTTTCTAAAGCAGAGATGAATAATTCTTGCCTTTTCCTGTGAACTCTTTAAAGGCTATCTGTATAAAAATCTATTATTATCTCTGTTAGAACCCCTCCAGGTAGTGTTTAGAAGCTTTTAGAGAATGAGATGATGGGATTAATTCATTCTTTGATTTATTTTTAATCTCAGCCTTTTGAATGACAGAAATGCAATGCCCATTACCTTGGAGATGGACACATCTGCATCTCTGTTAGGGTTAAGTAACAGAGTACTGCACAAGCTGTAATTCGCCCATTACCTTGGAGATGGACACATCTGCAAATCTGTTAGGGTTAAGTAACAGAGTACTGCTTGCACAAGCTGTAATTTAAAGGTTGAAAAATCTTGCATCATCCCTGAAATATAAAACCAGAGATGCTCAGTTTCCCAACACTGCATTTTACAAAGTTCTGGGCCAACTCCTTAAGTAAGTCTTTACACAGTTCTGTTTAGTCTTTTTGAAGGAAAACTATCTAATTCAATGTGTTATCTCTTTTATTTCAATATGAATTGTTCTGGATAAAGGCAAAGTAAAAACTAAGAATGTATCTCTCTTTTTCTGTTTGAAACGTCAGTGGAAAATGAATCTTTTCCATGAGAAAATAATTTCCCTTTCACACATGTCTCTAAGCACATTTTAAAACACTTTGTTCTTACCTAGTGTTATATTACTATAGGTCTCTGCCTGCAATAGCCTGTGAGTTTATACCAGATATGGGATGCTTCAGCATTCTAAAGCATCTCATCTCAGCCTGGATAAGGACAGAGATGAATAATTCTTGCCTTTTCCTGTGAACTCTTTAAAGGCTATCTGTATAAAAATCTATTATTATCTCTGTTAGAACCCCTCCAGGTAGTGTTTAGAAGCTTTTAGAGAATGAGATGATGGGATTAATTCATTCTTTGATTTATTTTTAATCTCAGCCTTTTGAATGACAGAAATGCAATGCCCATTACCTTGGAGATGGACACATCTGCAAATCTGTTAGGGTTAAGTAACAGAGTACTGCCTGCACAAGCTGTAATTCAAAGGTTGAAAAATCTTGCATCATCCCTGAAATATAAAACCAGAGATGCTCAGTTTCCCAACACTGCATTTTACAAAGTTCTGGGCCAACTCCTTAAGTAAGTCCTTACACAGTTCTGTTTAGTCTTTTTGAAGGAAAACTATCTAATTCAATGTGTTATCTCTTTTATTTCAATATGAATTGTTCTGGATAAAGGCAAAGTAAAAACTAAGAATGTATCTCTCTTTTTTTTTTGAAATGTCAGTGGGAAATAATCTTTTCCATGAAAAAATAATTTCCCTTTCACACATCTCTGTTTAAGCACATTTTACAACACTTTGCTCTTACCTAGTGCTATATTACTATAGGTCTCTGCCTCCAACACCCTGTGAGTTTATACCAGATATGGGATGCTTTAGCATTCTAAAGCATCTCATCTCAGCCTGGAGAAGGCTCTGGAGAGATCTTGTAGCAGCCTTCCAGTATTTAAAGTACCTCTGTACCTTAACTACAGAGGATGAGGAGAGGGCTGAGGTACTTAAATGCCTTCTTTGCCTCTGTGTTTAGTAGTAGAGTAGATTGTTCCCTGAGTACCCAGACCCCTGAGCCAGCAGACAGGGGCGAGGAACGGACTGAAGCCCCCGCAATACAAAGGGAGGTGGTGAGGGACCTGCTCCAACACCTGGATATAAACAAGTCTATGGGCCCAGATGGGATTCGCCCAAGGGTACTGAGGGAGCTGGTGGAAGTGCTTGTGGAGCCACTCTCCATCATTTACCAGCAGTCCTGGCAAACTGGGGAGGTCCCAGCTGACTGGCGTCTAGCAAATGTGACGCCCACATTTGGGCGCCCACAAGGGTCAGAAGGATGATCCAGGGAACTACAGGTCTCTCACTCTGACCTCAGTGCCTGGGAAGGTCATGGAACAGATCATCCTGAGTGCCATTATGTGGCACGTGAAGGACACCCATGCGATCAGGCCCAGCCAGCACGGGTTCACGAGGGGCAGGTCCTGCTTGACAAACCTGATCTCCTTCTATGATAAAGTGACCCGCTTGCTGGATGAAGGAAAGGCTGTGGATGTTGTTTACCTGGACTTTATTAAGGCCTTTGACACAGTATTGTCCTGGAGAAACTGTCTGCCCATGGCTTGGACAGGAGTACTCTCCGCTGGGTTAAAAACTGGTTGGAGGGCCAGGCGCAGAGAGTGGTGGTGAATGGAGTTAAATCCAGCTGGCGGCCAGTAACCAGTGGTGTCCCACAGGGCCTGATACTGGGGCCAGTTCTCTTTAACATCTTCACCAGTGATCTGAACAAGGGGATTGAGTGCACCCTCAGTAAGTTTGCAGATGACACCAAGTTAAGTGGGAGTGTCGACCTGCTGGAGGGTAGAGAGGCTTTGCAGAGGGATCTGGACAGGCTGGATTGATGGGTTGAGGCCAATGGGATGAGGTTCAATAAGGCCAGGTGCCAGGTCCTGCACTTGGGCCACAAAAACCCCATGCAGCTCTACAGGCTTGGGGAAGAATGGCTGGAGAGCTGCCTGGCAGAAAAGGACCTGGGGGTGTTGATCAACGGTTGGCTGAATATGAGCCAGCAGTGTGCCCAGGTGGCCAACGTGGCAACAGCATCCTGGCATGTATCAGGAACAGCGTGGTGAGTAGGACTTGGGAGGTGATCGTCCACCTGTGCTTGGCACTAGTGAGGCACCACCTTGAGTACTGTGTCCAGTTTTGGGCCCATTACCACAAAAAAGACATTGAGGGGCTGGAGCGGGTCCAGAGAAGGGCAACGAAGCTGGTGAGGGGTCTGGAGATAAAGCCTTATGAGGAGAGGCTGGGGGAGCTGGGGTTGTTTAGCCCGGAGAAGAGGAGGCTGAGGGGAGACCTTATTGCTCTCTACAACTACCTGAAAGGAGGTTGTATGGAGGCGGGAATTTGTCTCTTCTCCCAAGTCACAAGCGATACGATAAGAGGAAATGGCCTCAAATGTGGTGAGTAGGACTCGGGAGGTGATCGTCCGCCTGTGCTTGGCACTGGTGAGGCCCCACCTCGAGTACTGTGTCCAGTTTTGGGCCCATTACCACAAAAAAGACATTGAGGGGCTGGAGTGGGTCCAGAGAAGGGCAACGAAGCTGGTGAGGGGTCTGGAGATAAAGCCTTATGAGGAGAGGCTGGGGGAGCTGGGGAGCCTGGAGAAGAGGAGGTTGATGGGAGACCTTATTGGTGGATGAGTTTCAATAAGGCCAAGTGCCGGGTCCTGCGCTTGGATCACAACAACCCCATGCAGCTCTACAGGCTTGGGGAAGAATGGCTGGAGAGCTGCCTGGCAGAAAAGGACCTGGGGGTGTTGATCAACGGTTGGCTGAATATGAGCCAGCAGTGTGCCCAGGTGGCCAACGTGGCAACAGCATCCTGGCATGTATCAGGAACAGCGTGGTGAGTAGGACTTGGGAGGTGATCGTCCACCTGTGCTTGGCACTAGTGAGGCACCACCTTGAGTACTGTGTCCAGTTTTGGGCCCATTACCACAAAAAAGACATTGAGGGGCTGGAGCGGGTCCAGAGAAGGGCAACGAAGCTGGTGAGGGGTCTGGAGATAAAGCCTTATGAGGAGAGGCTGGGGGAGCTGGGGTTGTTTAGCCCGGAGAAGAGGAGGCTGAGGGGAGACCTTATTGCTCTCTACAACTACCTGAAAGGAGGTTGTATGGAGGCGGGAATTTGTCTCTTCTCCCAAGTCACAAGCGATACGATAAGAGGAAATGGCCTCAAATGTGCCAGGAGAGGTTCAGATTGGATATTAGGAAAAATTTTTACACTGAAATGGTTATCAAGCATTGGAATGGGCTGCCCAGGGAAGTGGTTGAGGCACCATCCCTAGAGGTTTTCAAAAGACGGGTTGACATAGTGCTTAGAGGCATAGTTTAGTAATGTGGGGTGTTCTTCTGTAAGGTTTACTTTTTTTTTTAAATCAGAACCAGGTTGATGGTTGGACTAGATGATCTTAAAGGTCCCTTCCAACCTAGAATCAATTCTTTGATTCTATTCTATGGTTCTAAAGGGGGTCTACAGAAGAGATGGGGAAGAACTCCTTAACAGGGAGTGGAGTGATAGGACAAGGGGTGACAGTTTTAAACTGGAAGAGGGTGAGTGAAATAAACTTGCTGTAGCAATTTCATTACCCACAAGTAAAGGACGGTTGTTTATTTTTTTCATCATGTTACAAATAATATGTGTGTACCATGCAAACTCACAAGTTTCAGTGAAGTGCAGTGCACTTCGACTGAGCAGGTATGGTCCAGTAAATAACCCAGTATACACATTAGTTCAGGTCCTACAAGCAATAGATCTGTATTAGCATGGCAATGGCCCAGACTAATTATTCCTACCTCTGAGGAATGGTTAATTGCCATAAATGTAGTGTTACATTGATGCTGTTGTATAGCATTTAGTTTAAATCAAGCTGAAATATCTTTACTCAGTGATGCATTTCAGATATACGTGTACCTAGATACACCTAGCCAGATTGAAACTAATTGCTCATCTCTGAATGTGTGTTTATACCATGATGTTTGTTATCCTCTGTGTTTATCCCAGGTTCCAGTTCCTCATATTGCAGACATGTTACTTCAGTCTGATCTGGAGCAGAGTGGTTTCTTCATGATGATGGGGGATACAGCTGAGAAGCAGTTCATGCTGGAGTCCACATTATATCGAATGGACACAGGCCTTCCTATACTCCCATCCCTGCGAACCAGTGACCTTCACTCTTCAGTGTGGGTAAGGAAGGCAGATAAACCATGTCCGCTCAACTTTACAAAAAAGCTGTCCTTGGTTTGGAAGGTTCCTGGATCAAACACCAACTTCTCCATGACTTGGCCATTTTTATTTTCCTCCCCTGCCCAAGGTAAACTACCATTTTTTTTATTTAAGTACTAAAGCAAGGTGGGTGGTTAGAAACACCTTGACTGATGAACAACTTGTTTTTTATTTTCCTCCCCTGCCCAAGGTAAACAACCATTTTTTAATTTAAGTACTAAAGCAAGGTGTGTGGTTAGAAAAACCTTGACTGATGAACAATTTGCGAATGAAATGCAAATAGCTTCCATCTGAGTGCCAAAGGCTAGGTCTCTGCCTTCTGAAATTTAGCTTACAACTGGAAATTAGCTTCTCTTTTGCTACATTTTGCAGTGAAGTCATAAGTGTGTGTTTGGCATTAGTCTGTTGCCATGGATAGTAGGAATCAGGGTAGAATGTGATGACATTAAAAGGTCACTTCAATCTCTAATGGCTATGGTGCTGGGAATGACTAATGGCATTGTACTGCTACAAATGTAGAGTTGGAACAACATGATGAACTGTAACTGACTCTTGTTTAAGCACAAATATGTCTGAGATTTAGAAGAAAGGATGACAAAACCATATTAATAAGTGAATGGGTTTATTTTTCATTTTGCTCTTTTTTTTGAGTGAGATTGCATGCATAGTCATTGGATGGGGTCATTTCACTTGCACAAAAATATAACTTAGCAAAATGGGTGTCTCAATAAATGTTATTTCTGGTATAAATCTATGATTGTATTTAAACTATCTTCCCTAGATAGCACTTTACAGGGGAATGACTTTGACCGATAATCACCACTATTTTTGTTTTCCTAGAAATATATCAAGATTGTCTTTAAGATATGACTCTTCTTGTCTGGTCATAGGAAATAAGGGATAATGTTTATTTTCACAAGTACATATTTGAAGTGTCTGACTGAAACCATGGAGTCTGTACTTGGTTTCAGACAGTTGGGTTTGTTCTGGCAGAAGAGCATGACTGAATTGAGTCCTGAATTGTTAAGACAGCCCCAAAGCTTATGGCAGAAACTCTTTAGTGGATGGAAAGGAGATGGACCATAGATTTCTACTACTGCAAAAAACTGTTAAAACAAATAGAAGTCCAGAATATGTCAACTGTGAAGGCTGTTTTCTATAATTTTTGTGTAGCTCTAATACAGATTTTTTATTTATTCATATGGCTTGACAGGAAAGTAAAAATATTAAGCCTTCCCACCATCTCTCTCCCTTCCCTTCCCTTCCCTTCCCTTCCCTTCCCTTCCCTTCCCTCCATTGTACACTGAATTTTAAAAGTGAATGCATGCTATAGCCTATCTTTCTTTTAAGCTGGCTATTTTAGCACTTAGCTGTACCCATTTTCTAGTTGTGTTATGTTTATTCATTAAGAAGTGTTGCCACATCTGTGTTGCTCTGTATTTTACTTTTACATGTAGAGGAGTTCATCGCACATTTTGTGTTCTTGAGAACTGTTTGTAGGTTTCCTTTGCAAATCAACATCTAGACCAAGCTGCTATTTACCGCTGCTGTGAAATGGTGGTATCTCCATCTCCCTTTAAACAATACTCACAGCTTCAAGATAGGTCTAAATAGTTCTTTGCTTTAATGCCATCTGTCAGTTATGTCATTTCATATGCACAGTTCCCACAACTTGTACTCCAGATGAAAATTTCCTCTTGTCCCTCAACCACCATTACCCAGATAAAGTGTCCAGAGAAGAGAGGAGCTTAGATTAAAATCTGGATAAGCACAGTGCTCTTTTCACTGTCAATAAAGACTCTGTTTTCAGCAATGACTGATCCCATAGCATTGCAGTTCACTTGGGCAACCCAGAAGCTCAAGTATCTTAGAAGTTTTACCTTGTGTAATAGGGAGCTGATCATACAGCCAGCGTTAGAGTGTTCTGACTGCAACACCTTTGGCCATAGTTTGACACATAAACCTTGGCTACATCTATGCTGCTAAAAGGAGAGGGCAAGGGACTGACTCCTGACCCCATGGTCAACTGCCACAGACTGGCGCATGTCCCCACTGCCTGTGGCTTGTCACTTCTCTAACAGGTTTGCCTTGGAGACAGCTGGTTGGTGAGGTCCACAGTGGATCCACACAGAGAAGAGAAATTGGGCAACACGGGTGGTGGAGGATCCTGAACAGGAGCCCACAGCTTATCCCTATTTATTTAGCAGCGAGGAGCTACCTTTTGAGACTAATTCAGTGCCTGGTCTTAAGCTGGTAAGAGAATCAATAATAAATAAATAGATGAACCGCAAATCCACACTGATAAAAAGCGCTCCCCAAATAGCTTCAGGATGCACTGGCCAGCACATGTTAGTGTAAGGCTACCCTTTGAAAACACTTTGGCAGCAACGGCAGGTTTTGTAGTGTGGTAACAGCTCTAATGGGACTTTCTTCCTGATGGCTGGGAAGCAGGTGACGTTGCCTTTATTTTCTCAGTTCTGCAAACAGTGGTAATTTCATAGAATTTCACTGAATTTCACTGAATTTTTAGAGTTGGAAGGGACCATAGAGATCATCTAGTCCAACTCCCCTGCTGAAGCAGGATTGCCTAGAGCTTGTCAGAGCATGTTACTCAGGACTGCATCCAGGCGGGGCTTGAAAATCTCCAAAGAGGGGACTCCACACCCTCCCTGGACAGCCTGTTCCAGGGCTCTGTCACCCTCACTGTGAAGTAGCTTTTTCTCATATTCTCCAGTCTCATATTCTCCAGAATTTTCTCAATTCTCCAGTCCCTTTCCCACCTTCCCTGCCATTAGCAAGTAGCTTGATACCTGCTATGGGTGCTGCTGCCTCCTGAGAAGTTTAGGTGTGCCATGGTGTTCTTCCTGTCCATCCTCATAGGTTCTTCTTTATAAAGTAACAAAATCCTTTTGTTTCTAAAGAAGGACTGGAAGTTACTTGAAAATGTCCCTTGAAAACAGGAAATAATCAATCATGAATTTGCATTTTGTTTCTAAAGCTTCTGTTTACATTCATTCATAAATGGAGATTTATCATTGACAGTTCCACTAAAGAGTGCAAGTAATGCATCTCACAGTTAGGGAACTTGCCCAGGTGACAATGGCAGATCAGAATAAAACCCTTTATCTTCTCCTGCCCAATCATTTGTATTAATCACACATCTCCACTCCTGATTATGAGTATGTGGCCATTCTCAGAGGCAGCTGGACTTTGCCTGGAGCAGGAGAATAAACAAAGGAGAAGAAAATCCCTTCTTTAATCTCAAGTGCAGAGATCATTTTTTCTCCAATAATAAGAAGCTTTCTTCTGAGGGTTCACAACTGCACCATTGGAGCATCTGTCTTGTGTCTTGGCACATGCTACAGATGATCAAAGCAGCAGCTTTTGTTTAAAGCAAGAGAAAAACAGGGTGGCAGAACAACCAGGGTTGGATATAGCACCACAAAGCAAGGAGGAAACAGAAGAGCCAAACTGTATAGGATGTTTTTTCAGCAGTTTGCCAGTGTGCAAAATAACATTGCCAGGTAGCTCAAGTAACACAGTTCTGAAATAGTTTATTCAACAGACATTCTTCCCATTTTTGTTCTCAAACTCCCTATATAGATTTTGTGTATGTAGATTTTTTTCAGCATCTATTTCTCAGTTCTGTAGATAATCAGTCCAACCAACCAAATAATGTTACTATTTTCCATGACAGTGAGAAACAAGTTATTTTACCAATATTTTTCTTTGCTTGCTAGCCAAATTTAAACTCCATTATTAAATGAGCAATGAATAAACCTATGCACTCTGTTCATAAGTAACAATTCTCAAAATGGAGGAGATTCTATTCATACTAGTTCTACTTTTATACAAAAATAACATTGAATCAAGCAATAACATTTTCATAGTATTTCTGTGATTAATTAATTTCATATCATCAAACAGTACAGAGAAGGTAAATATTCTCAACCCATAGCAAAACCATTGAAATACATATTTTTAGGCACCTGGTTCTTTTCAGGAACGTGAGGTCAAAAGTATTGCTCGTGAGTAATCATCACTATCAGTCATCTTCACATGATTTATTAATGCCTTGCTAAAAAGCTCTGATGCAACTGTCCAGCATCATTTTCTTTTTTCTATAGGGAGAAGAAAATCCCAAGCACTGTCATCATCAGCTGGCTTGCGTCCAATAATCCCAAATTAATTTAAGCGGCCAAGAACTGGGCGTTAACTTCTCTCGTATGTCAGGAGAGTAGGTAATAAAATAAAAACCAATCAGTCAAACCGTAGCAGCTCTTCACTCTGCAACAGTGGGAGGAGAGGGTGAGATCACCAGTTCTGCAAAGCTGAAGTGACCAGCTGACTTCTTTGTCTGCTAGCCTGCACGCTCTCCACTAGCAAAAGAAGAGAGGAGACATTTCTCCCTGCTATTTTGTGAACAAGGAGCTTTCACACACAGCCCCTCTGCACAATGAGGCTAAGTGACCCAGTGACAGTCCTCCTGAAGACAGTTCATGCTTCCAAAATTTTATTTCTTATTACATCCCACCTGTGGAAAGAAACAGCTTAGTTAATGAGAAGAGTGATGCATAGCTTTAATTCTCACGGTTATGAATATGAGCAAGGCCCCTGAGAACACTGGAAGTAATTACATTATATTCCCTTCTGTTTTAGCTACTGGGGCTGGCTTTGTTCACCGCAGATGTTACAAGAATTTCTTGCCATCTTTAAGACTGGCACTTGCCCTTTTTGGCTTGGAATTTTTTAGGACGTGTAATTTCAATCCTGAGAAATGGATGCAGACATTTATTACTGAGCTACCTTCTATGAAAGAAACAATCCCACCTCCTGAAGTCAAATTTTCCATTTTTTCTGTTACTCTATTAAAGTACCACGTGTTCATGCTGCATTGTAATGGACTACTTTGAGTTTGACTACTTTATTCAAGACCAAAAAGCACCCTGTTCAAATTTATATATAGTGAGCATGCCTATAATGCGAGTTTAGTCTTCTTTAGAGCCATAGAAGACACAGGGCAGTAGGTTAACACAAAACACTATGAACCGAAAGCATTTTAAGATACAAGTCACACACTTCTGTATATTGTGCATGGGAAGACCAGATTTCATTTTTCACGTGCCAAATAGGCTTCTATTTAAAACATAGCTATAAGAAGATGTGTTATCAGTCAATGTTTTTAGATTGTTGTTTTATACAATAAAAGACAAGTTGTGCCTACCTGTAAATGAAAGTCTGTTGTGATTTCCTTAGTACTTTGAGGAAACCCCAGTCAATAAGAGTTCTTCAATATTTCCCTTCATTCCAGCTGGAGATGAAAATATTTTTAATTATCTCCAGCTAGAAACTGCAGAGGGGGGCTTAATACACTGTAGTTATTCTGAATTAAGATTAAAATGCTGCTTGATAGCTGCTGGCTTTTTTTAGTAGCAATTATTCTGAGTGCATGATAATACTTGTTAGCAACTGCGTGTGCTTCAAGGTCTCCACTCCTTGATATGTTCTTGAACTTCTGCCATTTTGCAAGGGGCACTGAATCAAAGGTTTTGATGGGGTGACAGAGGACTGACATTATAAAATTAACATGTCCTGAATTGCTATCCAAGAATCATAGACTCATAGACAGTGAATGTTTTATAAAACCGCCAACTGACATTAAGTAGACACTGTTGTCTCATTAAAATGCTGTTAAAACTGCTACTTAATAATTCAGTATGATTTGATGATCAAATATGCTAAATATTCCAAGTTATTGTTAGCTATGAACCACTTTGATAGGAAATTACTGTGTCAACCTAACATTAATGAGTAAGTGGTATTCTCAACACTGTCCACTGAGGTACTGACAGGTACTGGTTTATTTGGTTGTACATTATCATTGTAGTTTATGCTGTCCAAGATTCACTGATAATAATATCACTCAATCCATCAGTCTATTTAAGTAACCTAAAATAAATTTGATGTGGAGACTGAATTAAACATGAGTAGTTAATATGTGCATGCATGTGTACATCTGTGTATACAGAGCTCATAATGAATTACTTAGAGTACCTTTTAATTGTGAAGAAGAGGACTAGCACCCAAAAGTGAAGCAAACCACACAGATAATCTACTTCTATCTTTAGATAAGGCTTGTATTTCTAAAAGTATCTTACATGCAGCAGCTCTGCATCTAAGATGCTTATTTTTTAATCAAGGGCTGTCAAACTTTTTGACAACTAAGGGAAAAATGACTTTATAGCTGTTTACTCAAGGATCTGATGGCAAATTAACTTTACAGTGTTAAAGGATGATGGAAAATGATTTGAGGACCATTTGAGAATTCTTCCATGGCCCGCCAGTTTGATGGCCTAATTTGAGTAATAAGCACATTTGGTTAGGCCCTGCACACAGATTCTGCAAATAATGTTACAATTGCAGTATCGGTGCAGAGATTCATTTTTCTATTATCTGTGAGAAAGCAGAATGTATACTGCGCTATAATTTATGATCCACTTTATGTGAAAAAACACGTTCTAATATAAACAGACTTCAAGGCAGTTCAATGGCCTCTACAAGATGTCAGAGTGAAGATCAAAGTGTTCTCTTTCATGATTCTAATTTAGGGTTCTACAGTATTTTAAGGGCAAAAAATGAAGATTCATTAGTGAATGAGCAGGTGATATAAGTAACACTCATGGAGAAATCCTTCACTTGAGTCAGTCTTCTTATTTCTTTAATTATATGTCTTCTTTTGTCTTTGAATTTTCTTAACAAACACTTTGAAATCTGTGTTTATTTCTGTTTATTAAGTTTATTTGAGATAGCAGACTTAGATATAGTCTGTGGCTGTATGTGTCCTTTTCTGTCTCTGCCCAGTTTATTTCTATACATTCAAAACACAGATTCCTGATGTCTTGTGTTGCAAAAGCGCAGTTCCAGTTTATCTATTGAATATATTCCTTTAAAATTTTTTATATGCAATTCCAGTTTTACAGTAACAATTAGCAGCTACAGTGAATGAATACAGAATCCTGCTGGTCACCTTCTTAAAGTCCTGTTTGTCTGCAGAAAATATTCCACACTGCCAAGACTTGTGATGTGTGATATTAACCCAGGAAAGCAAATTACTATCACCATGATATGTAGCACAGGGACATGCTTTGAAGAACTCAGCTGAATGGCTTAAATTACTATCACCATGATATGTAGCACAGGCACATGCTTTGAAGAACTCAGCTGTTGAATGGCTCTTGCTTCAGTGCAGCTATTCACCTGAAAAAAAAATTTAGGGAGCAAAGATTTCAGATTACACTGTTAGCTGGAATTTACCTTGACCAAAACCAACCTAGAATATAAAGGCAACCTGTTTGAGGAAAACAGAGGAAACAGGATAGGGAAATTTATGGCGAGTGGTTTTCTGGTTGAGGAAATTGGCTGGAAGCAAAGATGGGAGAAGATGCAAAGAAGCGGCCAGAAGAGTAAGATGGAGAGGAAGAAAATGGGCTCTGTGGGAAGCCTCATCCGAAGTGGTCTGCAGTGGTTTAGGGCAATGCCATCACTCTACTGAGATTGATGAGATTTTGTTCCTGGCTTTAGAGCAGCCAGGATATCACTCTTGATGCTTATCACTCATACTTGACTTTGCAGGCAAGAAAGTCATTGCAATTTAGAGTGCCTCAAAAATAGTTTGTGTCACATGCCTATTGGGCTCAGTATGAAGACAGTCTTTATGTGTCAGAAAGGCAGATATATTTATTGCATCTAAAGATCATCAAAGACAGATTTCTGTATCAGATCACTTTGTTTACGGAGCAGGAGGTAAGCTGGGCATGTCTGGATTTATCCCACATGTTGACTCACAACTACCCTGTTCAAAGCCAAAACCACTCCTAGTAACACTTTCAGCAACTGCCAGCCAGCATGAGCAGATAACAGCAGAGACAAACTTTCAATCTGCTTTAACCTGAAACTTGAATCTTGGTGGAAAAGGAGTTTTAGCTGTAGGAAGTACTAATTGGAGGCACGTTAGGAGTCTATTCACGCCATGCAGTGACCAATAAATCAGTGGCTTTATAAGCAGTGGAAGTTCTTGCCTCTGGAAAGCTGACCCTAGCTACAGTCTTCCGTGTCAAAATTGGTAAGTCCATGTTATAGTAATAAGCTTACCTTATTGGAACTTGGAAAAAAAAAAAAAAAAAAAAAAAAGAACATTTGTGTTTTACTTTCAGTGTTTTCCATATAACCTGTGCTTATTTACAAGCAGTATTTCCCCTATGCTCCTGCCATGTGTAATCTGCGATCTGGTCGTCGTGAAAACTTCTTTTTTATTCTCAGCTCTGTGATAGTATGTGAGTTTTTTTAAGGTGGCATCGGGAAACTGTTCAGTCAAGTAGCTAACTGCACTAAAATGTCCCATGTATATAAAATCCGGTTTGTATATATAGCAGGAGGTAAGCTGGGCATGTCTGGATTTATCCCACATGTTGACTCACAACTACCCTGTTCAAAGCCAAAACCACTCCTAGTAACACTTTCAGCAACTGCCAGCCAGCATGAGCAGATAACAGCAGAGACAAACTTTCAATCTGCTTTAACCTGAAACTTGAATCTTGGTGGAAAAGGAGTTTTAGCTGTAGGAAGTACTAATTGGAGGCACGTTAGGAGTCTATTCACGCCATGCAGTGACCAATAAATCAGTGGCTTTATAAGCAGTGGAAGTTCTTGCCTCTGGAAAGCTGACCCTAGCTACAGTCTTCCGTGTCAAAATTGGTAAGTCCATGTTATAGTAATAAGCTTACCTTATTGGAACTTGGAAATGAGAATTAATTTTAATTAAAATAAAAAAAAATAAGAACATTTGTGGTTTACTTTCAGTGTTTTCCATATAACCTGTGCTTAATTTACAAGCAGTGTTTCCCCTGCACTCCTGCCATGTGTAATCTGCGCTCTGGTCGTCATGAAAACTTCTTTTTTATTCTCAGCTTTGTGCTAATACATGACCTTTCAGTGTTTTCCATATAACCTGTGCTTATTTACAAGCAGTATTTCCCCTATGCTCCTGCCATGTGTAATCTGCGATCTGGTCGTCGTGAAAACTTCTTTTTTATTCTCAGCTCTGTGATAGTATGTGAGTTTTTTTAAGGTGGCATCGGGAAACTGTTCAGTCAAGTAGCTAACTGCACTAAAATGTCCCATGTATATAAAATCCAGTTTGTACATATTTAGTAGAATTGGAATAACAGGACAAATAGAAGACATGCCAGCATCTTCTAGCACTGTTTCAAATGAAGATGATACTGAATGTACACAGGAACCTGCTTTCTGAAAGATGTGTTGGCATTTTGCATTTAAAAATTGCTCTATTTTATTTAGGAGTTCATTATATTTCAATTGTAAGTGAAGGATGACTGACACTGTTTTATTGTATTGCAAGGAGATTCCCCTGCTACTTAACGTGTGGCTTTTCCTCTAAAAGATGGCCTTAAGGATAAGGATTGGGATGACCATCTAGACTAGACATTACTTGTTCTACAGGATTTTTAATTTTTTTTAATTTTCAAAAAACTGAAGAGATACACAGCATCCCACAGGTAGGTGGGATACTGACTTGCTCAAAACCTCTCCAAAACAGAAGGTTTTACTTTATAATGACATTTGTATCTTGCCCTGTCTAAGCTTCCTTGCACCCACCACACACAAACTTTCTTCAGGAATGCAGACAGTAAGTCTTATGCACCTACCTGATGTTTGCTCTTTGAGTTTAGCTTAGCATTTGTTCCTACAGAGTTTGGAAAATATACTCACAATCACTTAATCTAACATATTGAATTGAAATACCTGGTAGATAGAAGGTTATATTTACTTGGATTGGGAACAATAGGCTTAGTTATTCCCCAAGCTTCAACAGGTTTCAGGTTCAGCTAAGATTTTTCACTTGCATTCCACCAGTATGAATACTTGCTCTGGCATCTGAGCCGATTGACTAAGTCACCTCGGGCAGTTGAAATCCACTTCAATTTGCCAAACTGCCCTGAGATCCTGGTATCTGCACTCTTACTGTGTTAAAAGGTGGGCAAACACACAGAACATGCAGAAAGAAATAGAGCAAGTTATTGGGGACCACCAAGGTATTAATTAAAACATTTAGATGAATTTGGAATAAGTGAAAATATTGCAGGAAACCTCATGATTTGTTATGTATTAATTCTGGATACAAGCAGGGTAGCAATCACAAATGAAACAGTGTATCATGAACTATAAAACCAGAGATGCCCTTTGCTGCTACACCAACATCCTAACCCAGACCCTTCAAGGTCTGCAAACAATATCAAAAGGGGAGAGGGATGACTAGGCCAGTCTCTTTTGAGGCTGTGTAAATCATGACTGTATTGTTTCAAGTGGATGGTCTTACACTAAGATTAGTAGTTTTCTGGAAGCAGGATGAGAATACCTGGATGTCCCATCCTGACCACGCACGCTTGGACCAGCGCTGCTGTCGTGCTGCTCAGTTCTGCTTTGTGGTTTCCAAC